GTTTCTAATTCTCTATCCCTCTCTCTTCCTCTCTGTAAAAAAAAATCAATAAAATATATTTTATGTTTTAAAAAAGGAAAAAAATAGCAAATATATAGAAATAATCCAAAGTCCAACAATAGGCCTTTTTTTATATTCCACAAAATACACTCACCTCTATGTATCACTTTGAACAGGAAGTCTGGGCTGGTTATCCTCACCAAGGCCAAAGCTACCGATGAGGAACTAACTATGGGAGAAGCCTTTTCACATTCTCCCACCTTTGAGCAATAAAAATGATTTACCTTTCTAATAAAAAGTGCTTTTAAAATAACTCAACCCAAATTGCCAAACTTGGAGTTATATGTTATTGAAGGCAAGGACTCGAGCAACTTAATTTTAAAAATAGAGTTCAAATTTGCTTCAATCCACTCGACACTTGAGCATCTCCCGAGAGTGGGCATGGATGTGCGCAGAGTGGCGGGGGCGCTGTATTAAAATGGCAATTCCCACAGCACCTTAAATAAACCCCGTGAAATTCCAAATTATAAAAATGGCCTGATTTATGCATCTCGACGATCGTGCCGGAGCTGTCTGAGTGCTCATTAAGTCAGGTAATGCAGAGAAACTCCACTTGAAATACTGTGACAGCTACACGCGCACGCACACGTGGCAAGACTAATTGTACATTTAAGATCTGCTGTGTTTTGCTGTGCAATCAATCACCCCTCCCAAGTGGAAGGCGGAACAATAAAAACATCCATAAAGATGACACAAAACAGTTTGCATTCTTCATCTTGAGTTTTTAATGGGTCTCAATATCGAGTCAATTAAAAACCAAAAGGAGTATTTCCACTTCTCACTGGGATGGCGTCTGCAGGACCCGACAGCCTCCGGCCGGAAGCATTCAAAGGCGAAGGCGTCAGAGGAAAGCCAGGGAGGCCAGGCGTTCTCACCAAGGCCAAGTTCTCACAGACCCCGGGGAGACCCCGTGGAGGAGGGTAATGCATCCCCGTGAGCTAGAGGGTCTGCACATGGGCACCTCTTGGGGCATCTCGGCCCTGAGGCTGTGCTGACGTGGAGCAAAGAACTGAGGAGCAATTAAGAAACTCCTGGCCCGGCCAGTGTGGCCCACTGGTTGAACGTTGACCTATGAACCAGGAGGTCACAGTCCGATTCCTGGTCATGCCCGGGTTGTGGGCTCCATGCCCAGTGTGGGGCGATCAGGAAGCAGCCCATCAATGATTCTCTCTCCTCATTGATGTTTCTGTCTCTCTCTCCCTCTCCTGTGCTCTCTGAAATGAGTAAAAATATATATTCAAAAGAAACAAACAAACTCATTTTCCCTGATTCCCAGGCTAGGTCATGAACGTCTTTGGTGGGCTGTTATCTGGGCGAACACACTGAAAACTAAATGTCATAAACTAATTCTCAATTGATGTCGCCATTTTAGTCCCTGAGATCATCCTCTGATGGCTGGGGAAAGGGAGACCGCCCATACTGGTTTCTCTTGAGTGACTGAGAGGGTGTAAAAGACAAAAGGAAGGACCCAAACAGAAATAAGGGAGGTCATTCAGATATGTCAATAGACATAGGAACTCTGGTCTTATTGCCACTAACTGAGAAGAAGAAATGAAAACTGATGTAGGGTGATTGGCTTGGAGACAGCAGGACAGCTGTTGGGCTGGGGTTCTGAGCACACGGCCTCATGACCACAGCCAGACACCCCGGGTCAACCTTCACCCCAATGCTCCTGCTCACCAGAGACCATACCACAGTGCTGATGTGGAAGTAGGTGAGCCCAAACTTTACCCGATTTCTCAATCAAAGTTCCTACATCTCAAGAGGAAATCACCAGTCCAGGGGACGTGCTCACAGATGCAATACGGAATAAGAAGTCCAGCGAAGTGAGGCCTTCGAGACCTGCGGATAGATAAATGAGTTTCAGGGGCCCAGGGTTTTTAAAAAATTCATTGGGAATTAAAATTGGCAAATACAAAATCCTTTTTCTAGAAGATACAGTCTTCATCAGAATGGCAAAGGGGTGTGAGACTCTATAGAATATCTATAATAACCTATAATAATAAAAGCGGAATATGCTAATTAGAATGGACGCGGACGGCCTTCCAATATCCTCTGGATGAGCTTCCGGACGAAGCCAGGGTTGCGAGGCTGAGCCCCTCGCACGGATATCGTGCATTGGGTCTCTAGTATTTTATATAAAGTGATCAATGAGGATCAGATAAAAAAGCCTCAGGTCATTGATCTCCTGGTACAAGCCGTTTCATTATGTTTATGAAATGTGATTACGGTCAACACAGGAGTGTTGCAATCACATGCTGCAAGCCCTAGAGCTCAGCCTCTGTACCCACTTGGGCAACATGGAGCCGAGTGGCAGCTTCCTGCTCAGTGGGCGTGGTTTCTGGATGTAGCCAAGGAGGGACCTGTCACACAGCTGCTGCTCCAATCAGGTGCCTGAATACAGAAGGAAGCAGGAGCGCTGGCACCACATTCAAGTAGATTTATCAGAAGGCACAGCAAGTCAGGTGTGACTCATGAAATAGAAACTCAGTGAGGGCAGGGGTCTTTGTAGGGTTCTTAACTTCCATGCCTGCCACGGTGCCTGACTACACGGTGATCACCAATAGTGGGTCATCAATAAATATGCATTGAGTGAGTGAACCTTGTGGAAGACTGTGAGTCCAATTAAATGAGGCTGATTTTTAAATTTTTATTTTATTTTATTGGTTTATGTTAAAAGCCAAACATTGGCATTGAATAGAACATTTAATGTTGTATTTGTAATTGTGTTCATTGTGAAAGCTATTCAATGAAACATTTTAATTCTCATCAATGCAGTATTTCCTTATACATATTTACTCACATTGTCTATCCAGACAGAACAAGCCAGGACTGGGGAATGTTTGGGGATTATAAACCCAGCCCTCTGCTGGGGCAGGGGAGGGAAGAAGTGGGGGGGAAGGGGGACAGCCTGTGGTTTGAGTAGGGGCTCTCTGAGGGAAGTGAATACCAAGGTGCTTCAAGGAGGAAATCCCATTCTCAGTGCAGGCTGGGAGGAAATGGGACTGGAGCATCGAGCAGGCAGGGTCCTCTGGGGACACGGAACGGGGTCCAACCAGTTTACATGAGCCACAGGGAGGTCGGGCCAGGCCTTCCGGCGAGGTGGGCAGAGATCCTACTCAGTGCTCAGGGGACAGACAGCCCTGTGGGGAAGATGAGACCAGCCAGGCTGAGGGCCACTTGTGCCAACGGGGGCAGGAAGGAGGTTCTGTGGTGTGTGGGCACATGCAGTGGCTTCAGCTCAGTTAGCAAAATCACTTCCTGATCTCTGCGCCCCTCTTTGATCCTGAAAATGGGAAGGCTTGGGGTTAAGGGGGGAGTGCTCTGAGGAAGAAGGGGAACTGAGGCCTCTGTCCTGAGGGCTTTAAGGGTGGAGATTTCAGGGTGGTCCCAGGGGAAGGTCATAATAGACTATGCAGCTTTCCAGGTGTGACCTTTCAGGGTCCAGCTCTCCACTGATTGGCCAGCCCCAGGGCAGGGTCATTAGTCAAAGCAGCTAGTCCTGAGGCAGCTGTGGCTGGTTTTGCTGCTTCTCTGGGCCTGACCTGACAAAGGACTGAGGCCTAGATGTTGTCCCTAGGAGGAAAGGGCATGCTAGGGGAGGAAAGTCACCCTGGGGGCCAGGTCCCACCCTACAATTGTGCTTTGCTAGGCCCTCAGGACTTTCTGCCCTGCTGACCTTCTGTGCCTGGCCCACCCATCCTCCTTGCTCTGCTCACATCTAACTGCCCGTCACAGGAAGATCACAAGCCTAAAATCCTGCCTGCTACTCAAAATGCCATCCTATGCCAACGCTGGAGGACTCGGGGGGAGGGGGAGTAGATACCTCAAACGAGTCGGTAGCTTTGATAGTATTTGATGGAGTTTACAAAAAGCTTCCCTGGAGCCCAGCAGACTGCAAGGCGCAGGAGCCACGCTTGTCTAGATGGTGGACTGTGGCCCAGCCCCCTTGTCTGGTCAGAGAATGTCTATGCTTCCTGTAATTTGTGAGCTTACTGTTTCAGAAAGCAAAAGCACCTAGGACTTGCCTCTTCTCTCAATGATCTGGTTCTGTACAGTGTGTGTTTGTTTTCTCCAGAAAAAAAAAAAACAAAAAACACCCCACACAAAATCGCATTTTCTTCTCAACTTCAAAACAGAAAACCAGTCTCTCAGAAAGGCAGAAATTGCCTCCAGGTGGGGGTTGCAAACGCACTGGTGAGAAGGCCATGTGGTGGCTCCAGGGCTTCCTTCCCAGGCTCTGCATCCTGCAGCCCCCCCCCCCCCATCCCCTCTGTACCCCCCATCCCCTTCGCTGTACCCCCCATCCCCTCGCTGCACCCCCTCCCCCTTTGCCACCAGCTCGTGTTCTGCACATCCTGCAGAGGCCGGAGGAGGCCTGGAGGCCTGGCCCCTTAACTCTGGCAACAAAGTCAGGAGGTGGCCTCCCCAAAAGCTGTTTGCAGCAAAACGGAATAGCTTCTGAGCAGACAGACCATCTCTGCAGGCTGTGGGCCGCTGAGCCAGTCGCTGCAGGGCGCTGTGTTTGTGGTTTCCTGGTGTGTTTTTTTCTGCAGTTTTAGTTTTAGTTTAGTTTCGCAAGAAGGAAAGGGGAAGTGCCTGCTGCCCATCCCGGGCTCCGGGTTTGGGCCGTGACCTCTCTCTCGGAAAGCACAGACGGGTACGTCCTTCTGGGCAGCCAGAGGGCTGCCTGCGGGGTCCTGCCCGCTCCCCGCCGGGCTCTCCCGGGCTCTGCAGTAGCGGCCAGTGACGAGTGAGTGTGTGTGCGCCTGGATTGGCCTCATACTTCATGAACAGTGTGAGTGTGAGCGTGGGGTGCGCGTGGTGTGAGCTGGAGGACGGAAGAGAAGGGTGAGACTGCTCTGATCTGCGCCTGGAGGTCAGCCTCACTCAGCCAGCGGCTCTGCGGCCCCCTGGCCCCTCTGGTGCGGAGCCCCGACATGAAGTCCCCCCAGACAGTGCTTCTGGCGGCTCCTCTGCTCCTTCTCCTGCCCTTTCTCACCTCGGCCCCTGCGGCCCATGATGATGGGCCCGGCGCCAGGCCCTCCGGCGGGCACAGCTGTGTGGGTACGTACAACGTTTGCATATTTGTATGTGGGCAGAGTATGTGGTCAATAACGTGGCTGGCATAGATTGCCACCTATTTAATGACATTCATTGTGAGATGCCGAGTGAGACACCAAGAACTTCCCCGCCAGGCAAAAGCTTTGGGTCTGAGCGGGCTCACTGCTGGCACCTGGCGTGGTGAGAAGCCTCCGTGCGATCGCGGTTGTGGGTAAGAAGCCCTCATCCACCGCTGGATCCTGGATGGGCATTGCCCCCGGCCCGGCAACAGCAGGGCGGGAGCTCTGAGCGCCTTTCAGGACGGTAGGCAGCATCACAATTAGAAAGAAAGAGGACTTGAACTCAGACACACACACCTGAGTTTCCATGCCACCCCCTGGTCCCCCCATCCCTCACTGTCCGTGAGACCTTGTGCAAGTTGCTTCACGCTCCAGGACTCCATGTTCTTACTGATGAGACACAGTCTCCGCCTCCCAGGGTCGCTGTGAGCATGGGGATTGTGCGTGTACAGGAGAGTGTTTGCACACCGAGGACTCGGGGGTCTCTGCTTCCTTCTTTCTCTTGGGGAGCCCAGGGTTGCCGGCCACAGCACGGCCACCTGGAAACATGGGGCTTGGATTGAGCTATGGCTCCTTCGTCTTGTATGGGAGTCTTTTCTTTCCAAGTTGTTGCTTTGTTGTTCCGGGGCACTTGTAGAGAAGTACAGGGAGGGTAAGACCGTTGATGTTCGTACCGTCCCTGGGGCTTATAAAAGGTTGCAGGTGTTTTAATGGGCCAGTCCTTAGAGCCGAGAGACTCAGAACTCCTCTGGCAAGGATTCAGTGAGCAACTCGGAAAAGAACCCCAAGTGCCAGTGTGATGGCCACATCTCACACATGGAGCATCCGGACACACATTCCGACTCTGACACAGTACTCCTGGACACAGTGCAGGAAAGCATCCAAGTTAGTCCTGTTTCTGGAGAAACCAGGACCCGGGGTGGTTATATATGAAAACACCTCTAACTGTCTCCTTTTCCATGAAAACCTCAGACCCGGTTCCCTGTGGGTCTGCTCTCCACAGGCCTGGAAGCAGAGGTCTGTGTCCCCCTGGGGGCCATGTCTGGGCGATCATCCTCGCCCACTATTTGGTTCTGTCAAATAATGATTTACCACCATTTCATTTCCTCACAACAGGACCCTACAGCCTGGCTGGTGGAAACACACTTGATGAAAGGCTCAAGTGAAATATGCTCTACCTCTGGGGTGGTTGCTAATTAATGATTAGATTTAGGCAAGTTGTCAAGCAGACAGGAGCCAAGCGTTCCCTTCCCGGCCCCATTCCCAGGAGGCTGAGAGTTCGAGGAGGAGTTGAGAGGTCCCAGGAGGGGGTATCTGGTTGTCTGTTGCTGCACCCAAATTAGAGCCAGCCATCTTGCTGAATCCTGATGTTGTGGGTCAAGGATTTCTCAGAGGCTGGCTGGTGATTCTTCTGCTCCGAGTAGGGTTGACCAAGGTCACTAAGTGGGGTTCACATGGAAGATGGGTGGGTCTGGGATGATCCAACAGCTTCACTCACATGCATGGTGCATTGTGGGAGAGAGGCGGCTAGAAGGTTGGCTCAGTTGGGAACGTCCATCAGAGCATGTGTATTTGGCCTCCCCGGCAGGGCAGCCTCAGGAAGTAGGACGTCCTACATGTCAGCTCTGGGACCCCAGAGAGAGAGTCCAAAGCACAGGAACTAGGAGCTGCCAACTTGTCACAGATTGAATCTGGGAACTGCCCCAGCCTCCCTTCCTCCACCTTCTATTGGTCAAAACAGCCAAAGGTCCCTCCCCTCAGACTCACAGGGAGCTGACACAGACCCCTCCTTTTGATGGGGGCGGCGGGGGGGGGGGAGTTGTGTCAAGGAATTTGTGGTCATCTCTGCTAGCCACACCAGTTCACTTTTCCCGTAAAAATGCTCCATGGTTGCGTGGCTGCGGTGGCTCAATGGTTGAGCATCGACCTATGAACTAGGAAGTCAGGGTTTGATTCCCAGTCAGGGCACATCCTGGGTTGTGGCTGGATCCCCAGTGGCGTGCAGGCAGGAGGCAGCTGATCCATGGTTCTTCCTCATCACTGACGTTTCTACCTCTCCCTCTCCCTTCTCTGAAATCAATAAAAATATATTTAAAAATATATACTCTGTGGCCCAAGAGCTCGGAGAGTCTGTTCCTGCTTAGCTTAGATGATGACGTAACACCCGTTTCCCCAGCGACTCACATGTCTGGCTAACGGCGGGGATGATTGTTCCCCTGTCATCACCACAACCGGAGAGGCGGTACTGCAGGCTTGGTCACTAAGCCTGCAGTGTGATCAGCGGTTCCTGAGCGCTGGCTGGGCTGAGCCAGCCGCTGCAGGTGGTCCAAATTGGTGTCTTACTGCTCAGAGTGGTTCCTCGGGGAACAGGACTCAGAAACTGGAGCCTAGGAGTTTATGGAGGAGTGCTGTTGGGGGAAACTCCTGGAGGGAGTGAAGGCGGCGGAGCGGGCAAGGGAAGGCGGCTGTGCTGCAGCCATTCAAGATGCTCTGGCCGTTGTGGCTCAGGGGGTTGAGCATCGTCCCAGGCACTGAGAGTCACTGGTTTGATTCCCAGTGAGGACACATTCTGAGTTGTGCGCTCCATCCCCAGTGAAGGGCATGCAAGAGGCAACCAACTGATGTTTCTCTCTCTTCCTCTCCTTTCTTCTCTTTCTAAAATCATTAAAAATATTTTTATTTTTTAAAAGGCCTCAGGAAACCCCATGCAAAGCTCTGAAATTAAAATGGCTTTTAAGAGTTATCCTGAAGTGGGTCCAGGCCTCGGAACCCCCACATTGAACCGTCCTGGGGTGTGAAGTGACCCTAGTGAGAGGGCTTCCTTTGCTGGAGGCAGTGCCTGGAGAGGGTTCCCAGAGTGAGCCCACAGCACCCACACTCCCTGCATGGATGCACCCCCATTGCTTGTCTGCTCATTGCTGAGGGACATTTCTGTTGTTCCCTCTTCCTGGCTACGATGAATGATTCTGCCGTGAGCATTCCTGTGCAGGGCTGAGTGTGGAGATATATTTTATCCTTGTGGGTATATACTGCATATCCAGGAATGGAATTTCTGGGCCAAAATGTAACTCCACGTCAACATTGTGAGCAACTTCTAGACTGTTTTCCAGAGCAGTTAATAGCCATCTAACTTATAATTATCCATCTTTTTATTACTGAGTCCCAGGGGGATGAAGTGGTACTTGTTTCGATTTGCATTTCTCAAAATGTTGGCCATTTGCATAGCTTCTCTGAAAAAATGTTTATTCAAGTCCGTTGCCCATTTTGAGGTTTTGAGGGATTTTGTTTTTTATCTTATTGTTGAATTGTAAAAGTTCCTTGCATAATCTTGAGGTATTCATGGAAGTGCAAAGGTTTTAAAATTGAAGTCCAATTTATCCATTTTTTTCTTTTGTGTTTTGTGTGTCCTATCTAAATCCAACATTAAAAAAAACACACACACAAAACCGTTGCCTCTGTTATCTTGCTATTGTCTTATGCCATTCTCTTGTTTTCCCAGACACTGGGGCACTGGACAAGGTTGGGTAGCAAGGTTATAACTTATAGGATCACAAGTAGCGAGAACAGACATGAGCGAGGCAGAAAAACATGGAGCGGGAACTGTTGGGGATGGAGATACTCCAAAAGGAGCCACACAGATGTTACTGAAGGATCGAGCCAACCTCCCCATCATAAACAGCCCAGCTCCCTACCACAGGGAGCCTTTGCAGTGGGACTCACACAGTACCCTGGAGGCCATGACCTTGAACATCACCCAGGTCAGAACCAAGCCCCAGGGGGCCCTTTTTCAGTTTCCCATAGTGCGTCTGTGCTGAACTAGACATCCCACTTGGTCACTAAGCCAACATGGTTTTACGGGGCCCCTCTCTGCCACTTCTCAGATGTGATAGAATTAATAATGAGCCATGTTTAATTTTTGCAAAACATCATTTTCTTCACATGGATGATTTAGAGGCAAAGTAATCCTTATGTGGGGAAGTCATTGACATTTAAATTAATTCATCAAGAATGTTTTTAGCACTATTTATTTGGTGCTCAGGAAGTTTTTTAAAAGGTTAGAGAAAAACGTAGTTTTTCTTCTCATTCATGTTTACTTAAATATATAACATGTCTTCTTACCCTGTTAAAACCCCCTCTTCCCATCCCACCACCCCGTCACCCCACATAAAATGGTCAGAGATAACTTTATAGTTTGAATAATAAAAAAAAGGTGGTCCAATGCCAGCCAATGTGAATGGTAAAATGACAGTGTGATTGGCAAAAATAAGAGTTAGAAACAGCCAGCAGTAGTTGAAAATTTATGATCACAACTTATATATACAGAAATTTCACTTTCTCTCCTTGTAACTGAACACTTGTTCGTAAGCCACCCCTTCCCCTGAAAGAGAAAATATTTCATCATCTTGCCACTTATGTGAAGCGCTGACTTGGCCATTGAGGTTTATAGGAAGGGCATTTTTCATAACTTAATGAACTAATTCCGCAGATCCAGCATTCGACAGAGATGCATATGAAGTGTGCATTAAAATAAAGATTTTACTTAAAACACTTTAAAGGCAAAAGTGCACTGAAAAGAGCAATGGTTCAGCTTCCCAATTTTTCTGAGTCTGTTGGGTTTTAACAAGGGAATAGACATGATTAAAAGATAAGAATTAGCAAAACATTTCTTATATTTCCCAGAAACGGAGAGAGTGACTAGGTAACAAATGTTCTTGCAAGTCAGGTGGTTTCTCGTTCTTGGCTTTCAACAAGGGGACTTAATAGAGTTGTCAAGTGACAGATGATTTGGGATAAATTTTTTATGATAAATCACGCTACGATTTTTGGCATTTAATGGAGAAGGAGTTAATGTGTTGAGTGACATTACTGTATCAAAAGTCCTTTCATTCCCATTTACTTCGTTAAGAAAATGTGTTTTCTTGGCACTTACTTTTTAAATGGAAA